TGAGCTAAGACCAAACCAAACCCTGGGATACTGAATATACCATTTATTGATCAAAATTTCAGCTCAACTTTTAAACAAAAAATAATGATGTGGGAATTACAACAGAGCCGTGTCAGCTGAGGCTTGCTTTTTAGGAGTTATCCAAGAAAAAGTGAGTGCATACTTATTGTTGGTCACAATCCAAGCTTTGTATAAAAAGCGATTAATAATCTACAGCAATGCTTGCAGCTCTACTGAGACTGTGCTTAAACACACTTGTTCTTGAGCTAAGTTCTAACAGAAGAATAGAATTGCATCAACAGTTTTACAGTCATGATGTTTACTTGCTGTTAAGCAGATCGTGTTTATCATGTCCATCTCTTAGTTTAGCATGTTAGTACTGTAACATTCACTAACTAGCAGTAAACAAAACATGATGAGTGGTGGATGAACGTTAGTATTATTAAACCAAAGTACTGGACAAAAGCAGGACAATTTTGACCCAATAATGGCTATGGAGGAAAAGTTACGGGATGACCAATGTAATGACAGTTTATCCAGAGGACAACCTCAGTGTGTGTACAGAATTTCATGGCAATCCATCCAATACAAACAAAAAAGTCTGAGTTAGATTATCAACAAAATTATTTACGCATATTTTCTGAACACTTCTGATCCCTGTACAATATTTTATGACAGTCCGTCCATGAGTTGTCGAGATAATGTAGCCTGGAACACCTGAGACTGCCATTGCCACAAAACTGGGCATTTTTAGAACTAATGTTAAGTCAGATTTGAAAGTTGGATGTACAGTTACACCAAACACGTTTGGTAATAATTTAATTGCCTGCATTTTCTATTTCAAATAAGTATTGAACATTTGACAAATTTCTGTACAACCTTTATAGTCAGCTGTGAAATCACTATGACTACAGTAGTAGATTGGTAAAAGGTGTTGGCCTTGGCTACTTTACTATTTTTAAAGTCTCCAAAAACAATACTATCCACACAGGAACCTACCCACACTGAAAATTTTCCCAAAAGGTTTGGATCATGCAGTAAGTTAGCCTTGCTAGTTTTTCTCACCGAACTAACCATTTTATTGGCAATACATGTCTCCATGCATGCAGTGTTAGACCAAAATGATTCTCCCATCACTGTTTGGAGTAAACACAGTCACAGCATTCTGTTCTGACTATGGCACATATTCCTGCAGTAGATCTGTTGCATCAAAAGTTGTTGCAACTGTTGGGCGTGACGGTGAAAAAAAAACATTCCTTTGTCAGACCTCCACCTGATTGACAACAGGGGCAGCTATGAGAGCAAGTTGTCCCCTAGGTGCAGGGTTGGTGGTTCAATCCCCGGCTCCTCTTGTCCATAAGTGTCTTTGAGCAGCACACTGAACCACGAGTTGTTTCCGTTGCGATTCCAGCATCTTGCATGGCAGCACTGCCTCTGTTAGCGTGTGTTGAAATGGGCGAATAAGAAGGAAAACATGTTCGGCTTGGTAAACAGTTAAGGTAAAGGATACAAGCGGAGTTTATCTAACTGATATTTATGACACAATCGCATGAACCATTGATCAGTGTTTGAAAGGTACAGTAACTCTTTTGTGAAGCACTGCAAGCCTGAACTCAAACACTGACTCAATGGATAAATACATCTGTGTTTCTCATTTCTGGAATCGGAGCGGCTACCATTGCCTCAGACCGTTCCAGCATTCAGTCACACTGACGGATCGCATCTCCTCGTGTCGGCTTTTATCCCCCTCAGCTAGTGAATGATGCATTTGCGAGTTACTCTGAGGAAATCTGGTGCTTATATTACACAGATTTATACATCTGAGGACAAGCTTTATCTGAGATGTTTTCAAGAGCACAGACACGCTGAATGAGTTGCTCTTTCAGTGAACACAAGCCTGATGAAAGAAATGTCAGATTGTAATTTAGCTCGGCTCTTTCACAGACACAGACACCACACGTACACACACACACACACACACACACACACACACACATATATACGCTCTCTCTTCCCGTTCTCATCTAAAAGACTTTGGCAGATGGAGGCGTCTTTGTCTCGCCAGAAGTTTTCCAACCTTGAAAAAGCCGCCCCTCCTCAGTTTAATGAAGGCAAGCCACAACAGCAGTGTAGTAATGACTGGATTGTGTACAACATTATCCCTCCCCCTCCTGGACAGAGTCTTTGTATTCACCGCAGGCTGAGCTTCTCCCACCACAGAGCAAAGGGAGGGGAGAGAAAACAAGCGCACCTCTCCAATGCTAACTCAATAATGACTTCCCACGGGGGGAAAGAGAATACGGGGCAGTCTTTTGAAGTGGCTGTGCTGCAGGAGAGTCTTCTTGCCCCAGTCTCGCTACAGGAAGCTCTCACGTGGGTTTTTATAGAGCCTGGGACCTAAACAGGGCTCCATTGCAAGTTGCACACACTTGTCATCATCAGCGAAGATTGCAGCAACGTCTTGAAATCCTGTACTTGTTGTCACTGCTTTAGAAAAAAAAAAAAAGGGAAAAAAAAGTTGTGTGGGATCTTGGCTTTAGTGACTTTCACACTCAGTTATCCGAGGAATGCAGCGGTTTTCTGTGTTCACATATAAGTCACCTCCTCAAGACAGCTTATGTGTTGACATGATTGTGTGCGGAGACTTAGCACTGCCCACGCAACACAAGGCATCTCTGGTGTTCGTCTTTATTTCGCGTTCGGAAGATCTGCCAGCGTGGTGCATTTATGCGCTACTGTACAAATTGGAAAATCGGCTCCCCTTACACAGACGCTAGCCAGACTAATTTCTGTGGTCTGGGGATGGCAGCGTTGGCGAGTCAGTCCACCACTTTGGTTTAGACTAAAATATCTCAACGATTATTGGATTCATTGCCATGAAATTTGGTGCAGATGTCCACAGTCTCCAAATGATGAAGTCTAACGACTTTGGTGATTCCAAATTGGTGTTTTCACTGCTGGGCTTGATGGGTAATGGAGGAACATGTAATCAAGTGCAACAGTAAATATGGTGTATCAGGTTTTGGCTACACACACGATACTTGATAGTTTATTTTAGATTTTTCACTGAATTTATTGATGTGAGAGAGTCTTTGGAGATGTATTTGTTAGGAACTACAGATTAGATAGCTGCAGAGTGTTTGTGTGTGTGTGTGTGGTTTTTTTTTCCTGCTCTCACAACTCCAAGGCAGAAACCACACGGGAAGATTTTTCTGGTCCTGAGTTGGCAGGCTGCCCGAGTGTCTTAGCAGGAAAACCGACTTTGGCAGCTTCCAAACTCTGCCACATTGTGTGAGAAACATTTGTGGATTAAGGGGCATGTGAGAAAGGGCGTTCCACTTCCCCAGTTTATTTCGTTGTGTTTTTCAGCGCTCAGAGGAGAATGCGCGTCCATATGATGCAGCACAACTATAAGATCTGTTTACACAGTCCCTCCTGGGCTCCTAAATGAATGCACAGCCACTACACGCTGCTTCCATAAACACTTTACTCACCAGAATAGGGAGCTCATTAGGACTGCACGGTAATGAGGAGCCATCCTGGTGCTCAGCAGTGGGTTAATTGGGCCAGAGAGGGCAACAGGAGCCGAGCGTGTGTGAATATGAATGGCAGCGGAAGAGTAGCCCCTCCACACTTACCCCGTCTACACGTACATACACACCAGCGCAGCTCTCACACGCTTTCTCCCACTCTGAATAGACACAGTCTGAATCGCAGTGACCTGCAGAGGTCAGCTCGTAATCACCATGGCAATGGGGGCGGCACACACACCCTAACCGCACTAGGGGACGAATAGCAACCACTTAAGTTTTTGGCAGCATGGCAGGCATTCCCAGCGTGAATAATGTGCAGGCGGGGGCCTCCACACAATCTGATGGCTTTACACAAACGGGGCCTTGTAGGAGGACATTCATCAGCAATAAAACACCTTCTCTTTCTCCAAGCAGTCTGTTGTGTCTTCTGCGGTGACACAACTATAAAACTGAAGTGACGGGACAGGAACATTGTTTAATGTACTGCTTTACGAGGGCACTCTCTTAATCTTAATCTTTGGAGACACGTCGCCGTGGGGGCTGCAGCTCGCAGTCATTCTCCATCCAGACTTTTATTGACTGTATTGCAGTCAGACTTGGTGCACAACCGCAGTCTCGTCGGCCTCTTGGGGTTACCCCGCTTTCATTCTCCAGAATGTATTCGCCTGTGTTGATTCTGTTTGTTCCCACTGCAGCATGATTGTTGGATCTTTTTCTCTCTCTCCGGCATCCGTCATATTCTCAGGCTTTTGTTGGCCCCTCTTGTTAAAAAGAGATCACAAGGGCTTTCTTTAGAATATGAAAAATCACATCTCATATGCTGTGAAGGAAAGGTTCCTATCAACCTCAGCAAGTGTTGATTGATTGTTAGCAATCTCTGTTATCTCTCCTCTCCCACTGTTTCCAGCGGTTGGCTGAGCCTCTCCATACGTGGAAGTGAAAGTGTCTGTATGTTTTTGCGGGTCGAGGTGGAGGAAGAAGAGGAGGAGGAGGAGGAGGAGGAGGAGGTGTCTGCCTCTCTCTGTAATCCCTCTCTTATCACCTCTCGCAGGGAGAGCAGCGGTGGGGGAAGGAGAGGATCCCGAGCCCCGTGTATCAGCAGCACTCATCTTCCTACATTATTAAACATCCATATTTCCATATTTCATTGAGCCCCCGTCGGCTCTGCAAATCGTGGTCTACTTAGCATTCATATGAGAATGGGATTTGGTTAATGGGTATTAGATTTGTAGATGGTTATCCTGTGGCTATGTCTTTAGTACGCAGAGCCAGTCGATCAGTCAGTCCTTGTGCCTCTCTCTCGGGTACCGCTGATGATGTTGTAGTTGGATGTCACTCTCTTTTTTTTCTCTCTCTCTCTCTTCTTTCTCCCTCTCTGTGTTGCCATATACTAGTTTTGTTGAGGTAAAACTTTTTTTGCTTTCCTAACTTGTCCTTCTTCGTCACGCTCCTCCCCGATCTTCACAGGTCAAAGAAGGTGACAGACTTGGCCGCGGCGCTGCAAAAAGCATCCCTGCAGAAAAAAGATTTGGAGCTGGAGCTTGATGAGCTCGAGAACGCAGCGACAATGGTGGCGGAGGAAGAAGAGCGGAGAGCTTCCAGGAGTGCTCGCGTATCCTGTGGTGACAGCAGCAGTGCCTCCAGTGACAGCAGCAGCAGCAGCAGCAGTAGCAGCAGCAGCAGCAGCGACTCATCTGAGAGTGAGGAATCTGAGGCTGAAGGACAAGGCTGCACTGAATCAGAGGAGGGAGGAGGAGGAAGAGGAGGAGGAGGAGGAGGAGGAGGAGAGGCATTTAAGGACAACCCTCTACAGCCCCAACCCTCCTGCTCTGTCTCTCCCATCCCCCAGGCACCCACAAGCCTCTCAGCAGAAAATAGGAAGGTGAACTCCCTTCCCTCAGCCTCAGAAGGCTCCAGACAGCTGATCGAGGAGCTGGGGGAACGGGTGGCAGACGAGCTGAGAGTCTCCCCCGACTCCAGCTGCACGGCAGAGAGACGACGTTCACAGCTGAGCGACGCTGCAGCAAAGACTGAGGTAACATCTGGGCGGAGCAGCAGTGGGACTTTGCTGGAGCCGAGCACTCGCAGAAACCCTCTGCTCATCGTCCAAACGCAGGAAGACGTCGATGGTCTTGAGAGGAACTTCATCAGCTGACAAGTGTTGTGGAATTCTAAAGCCTCGTAATGAATGTTGAACTGTAAACTGCCTGTAAGTCGTTTAAGAAAGTGTTGTTTTTTATGGTTTCATTAGTTTTTTTTTAATGTTATTGCATCTGCTGTTTCTCGTTATGCCAAGTTATTAGTTCAATGTTTTAACTCTCTAAAGGAGTTTAGTTTCCATAACAAATTATATATTAATAATTGATGATTTTCCAAAGCCTTATTAAAATTTCTTTTTCACATTTCTATAGTGGCTTTCACAAACTTTCAAGCACCAGTGCACAAGATTTACAGGCAGCTCAACCTTTTATTTTCTGTCTATATCCGAGCTCCCTACTTGCTATACAAATACATTCTCACTCTCTGAACATAAAATGTTTGATTTTATATGAATTATTCCAGCTCCTTCTTAATTATTGAAACTAATTCAACACTGTCTGTGAGCTCAATTCACTACGCTGGCACTGATCTGCCAACAAGTGTGGAAGTCCTCTATTACACATGTACATTTCCATATCCAAATTTACATGTGAAGTCTGCATATCCATGTTGGGACTGAATAAACAAAACAGCAAAACCATTCCAGGAAACTGACAAACATTTGTCATTGTTGTATGTCACTCAGCATTCAAAAGTGCCTGGCAGAGCTACTTTGAGCGAGCTATTCTTTTCCTAATAAATAGCAGGAAAAGCAAACCCTTTCCTAAAGCCCCGGCATTGATTGAAGTGGAAAACACTCTGTCTGCACTAAACAGGGCAGCGGAGCAAGCTGGAGTGATTGATTCATCTGGCGTGAGCGGAGGAGCGCCGTCGACACAGCTCAATATCATCGGCCGCGTCTAACAGGCGAGAGAAAACAAACAAGGAAGCACATGTCAGGCAGATAGATGAGAGCTGCGAGCGAGGCTGAGGCACAGGAGCCGTTTGTTTGAGAGATAAGAGCACCCCGGGGCTGGAGGCAGCCGCGAGATAGAGTAGCACAGGGCCAGCAGAGACAAACTGACACTCCGGCCAGCTCAGCTCAGCTCAGCTCAGCTCAGCTCAGCTCAGGCGTGGAGATGTCCACATGCAATGGCCCATCCTGCCCCAGCACTAAACACGTCTTTGCAGCAGTGGCGGATCCAGTCAGTTTTTATTCTCACACTGGGGTGGCAGAGAAGCTGATATATCTTAATTAGTATTTTTCTGCATTGTTGGCCAGATAGTCCTTTTGGTCAATCACTCTTATTTGCTTATGCAGATGAGACTGCAGAATGTGTACAAGAGCTTCAAATAAATCCACAGCCAAACCTAAATCATGCACATTTTAAATTACAAAAACGTGTGGAAATTCTTTATTTACTTATAAGAACCAGTATCAGCATTTTCTGGTTGGTCACATGTACAGTGCCTATACATATTCACCTCCCCTCAAAGTTTCATTGCTTTTCAACATTGAATCATGATCAATTTCATTCAGCTTTTTTGACAAGAATTTATCAAAAATGCTCTTTCACGTAAAAATACAAATACAAAATGGGTGATTGCACAAGTATTCAGCCCAGAAGGTCAACTGGAAGAAGGTTCTTTGGTCTGATAAGACCAAAATTGATCTTTTTGGTCAGCAGACTAGATGCTTTGTTTGGCAAATGGACCATCCCCACTGTGAAGCATGGCGGTGGCAGCATCATGACGGGGATGCGTCTCAGCAGCAGTCCCTGAAAGCTTTGTAAATGTAGAGAGAAATCCTGGAGGAAAACCTGGTACAGTCTGCAAGAGAACTGCAACTTGGGAGAAGATGTATTTTCCAGTATAATGATGACCTCAAGCATACAGCCAAAGCTACACAGAAGTAGTTCAAGGACAAAATGTGGCAGAGTGGCCGAGTCAGACCTCAGTGAAATTAAGACTTTGTGGCTGGATTTGAAAAGAGCTTGTTTACTTGCGAAGTGCATCAACTAAATCCTGACTTCAAATGGGTGAATACTTGTGCAAGCACTTATTTTACGTTTTATATATTTAATTAATTTATATTACTTTGTAGAGATCTGTTTTCATTCTGACATGAAAGTCTTTTTTTTGTAATTTGTCGTCCAAGAAACCTCCAAATGTACCATTATACAATGCTGAAATGCAATAAAAGAGGAAATTTTCCAAGAGAGCTGAATCCTTTTTATAGGCGCTGCATTTGGTTTTATGGGGTGTGGCTCCACCGTTTAAATGGGTGCACAGAGAAGGACCGGTCTGTGGCCAACCCAGTCCGCCCTTCTTCAGTGAAATAATGTTAATTTCTTTGTCCCCTGAGTGGACTTGCATTGATTACTGTAACCGAGGAGGAAAAGGCAATATAGAAATGACCCAAATTAGCAGAATTTGTCAGGTTTCGTGGTGCTATCGACTCGTGAAGGAGTGACTGATCTAGCACAGCCACAGCGGTGCCTCGGGCTTTTTCATGAGAAATTTCATCCGGAGCGAACGAAGGCAGCTCTGGAGCCCCCGGTGATGATGGCTCCTTAGGTAGGCGGCGTCTGTAGTGTTGTGTTACAGAGATGGATGCTGTTTCTAAGCACCTCCCAAGAAGAAGACAGCCTCCTTGCAACGCCCCCCCTGGGAACGAACGCCATCATCGCTGTGACTGAGATGAGTTACGCCGTGAAAGTGGGCCCATTTAAAAGCCCCTTCGTTCCGGGGACATGAGTCTTGGGACTGCGCGGCCCCCGCAGGCGGTGTTTCCCTCTCCTCGCTGGGGTTTCACATTGATTAAGTGACACGGGGCTCCGTTGTCGTTTTTCATCTTAAAGTGGCCTCCATATTCCTCCATTAGTGCCGCCGTCCCGGAGCCTGACTGGGGCATCGGCGGCCAAGCTCGCCACTTCACTTGGTTCTTTTGCAATTAATGCTCTCGCCGACAGACATTTTTCAAGCGGCGAGGCCATGGTTTAATGAACATTGCTGATAAATTATACAAGGCGGTAATTAATGTGACGTCTATGCTTTATTTTGACTTGAATTTGATAAAGCAGCCCCTTACTCGTGTAGTGAGCGAGCCCCTTTGACCCTCAAAGGTCTAAGAAAATGGCGTAATGTGTTCAAGACTGATTTGGGTCATCCTTGTAATGAGCCAATTAGAAACAGCAGATGTGTAATGGTGAAGGTAGATCTGGTGAGCCTTGTGCAGGCAAAAGGGATGCGACATGAGCGTTGTTTTTCACAACTGTGCACCGAAAGTGTGTGAAAAAGTAAATCTGCTTGAGTGCGGGTATGAGACAAAAACTAGAGCACAAGAGCCTCTATTTTTGCCAAGTAGAAACATGGAATGTCTCTCTGGTTATTGATTAACAACGAAAAACTCATCTTTCCCTGCTTTGATTTAACTCTACGCAGTTGCTTCCTGTCTAGTGTGCAGATCTATGAAGTCCCTGCCTGTCTTACATCAATCCCCTCCCGACTCACTGCAGATCGAGCACGCCAGTTCACCTACGACCCTGCTCAAGCACTCTAAAGCATATATATATGTGCAGAAAGTCCCACTCTGCAAGGTGATTGATTCCTTATGCTTGTTGGGTATGAAATCCTGGAGTCTGTGCTTTTAAGCTGTCGTCAGTACGCTGCAGTTTTAAGGTGGAAATGCTCAGCTCTGGTGCTGACTGCTTTTTTTTTTGCTCATGATGTGCCTTCAAGTGTGTAGAAAACACTAAATGGACATGTTGGAACAGTAAAAACACTTAATTTTCAGCAGAGGGGTTCTTGAAAGTTGGTATTTGCTGAGCATTGGATGATGTCACCACTCATATCTGTCCATTAACTATAAACCTATGGCCAGGACATGGAAAACTTAGCTAAGAATTGAAATGCAAAAAGAAAAAAAACTGCTGTTCTTGCTCTTTCCAAAGGATTAAAAAAAAAAATCCACCTACCAACACCTCCAAAACGTATTAACTGAGTGTGATTCTAGAGAGTCACCACAGCCTGCCAAGAAATAGTCCGGCACATAACTCACGTGTACAAAAACACATCGTTTTTACATTTACGTTTGTGCAAAGATGAAATAAACAAAAGTGTTATTAGGGAGATTTTTTTTTTCAGCTGGTTCCCTCCTGCTTCCAGGTGTTAAGCTATGCAGATATGAGTGATCTTCCCATCTAACTTATTGAAAGAAACAGAAAGCTCTTTTTATTTTTTTCCCCCTCAAGTTCCACTGTTAGGATTCTTCAGCCTTAACTTCAACATATGGAGCATCTGGGAAGCAGCACCATTGTAGCCTAATTTCTGCTTACCTTCACAACTTGCCCTTTCAATTTGTGGGCTAAATTGCATTGTGTTTTTTTTTTTGAGGACACACACACACAAAAACACCCAGAAGACACAGAGGATAATGTAGGCAGCTACTCGAAAAACAAGTGAAATCAGTCAAGCTTGATGCCTGTGAAGATAAAGTGAACCATTTGGTCCTTTAACACAAAGAAGCTCTGTAACAGCAGTGCATTTACTGTGACATTTCTTGCCTCGCTGCGAAAAGAAATTAAAGAATAATCGCACTAATGTGATAATGCATTCCTTCCCTTGTTTTTTGTTTCAAACGGGAAAGGCAGAGCCAAGGACAGCGCCGTCACTGCCCCCCCTCTCCCTGCGACACACTGCCTCTGGTTGATTGTAATAGAAAACTCAATCTCCTCTCCCATTCCTGAGAGGCAAAGTGATTCTGGTGCTTGAAAAGATTAATAGCCCTCCAGAAGAAATGAATCAGGTGCTCTTCAGGGCCTGACTCCTCCAGTGGGCGTGCAAATAGAAATCCTTTTGTGCGCCCTCTTTCTCACGCGGCCGTGTCGCCCGGTGCGGCACGACTCTCCCCTTTTGTGGCCTTCCCACTGTGTCATGTCGCTCCGGGCTTGGCCGGCGAAGAGACGAGGAGCTGCCTTGACGCTCAGCGAAGGGAGAAGCAGGTGGCCGTTCCCTGCAGCTCGGTCTTCCGGGCTTTGTAGTCGGCCCTCTTGAAATGACTGGCGTATGGTAATGAGGGAATGAGTGCATGGGATGTGTCAGTGTCTCTCAGGCTGACAGTGTTGACAGGGTGGGATTATCTAAATGGGCTATTTTCATGCTCTTAATCACAAAAGAAACAGTGAAATACCCCCTTTCCGCAGTGTGTGTGGGGAGCGTGTGTGTCTGTGTGTGTGTGTGTGTGTGTGTGTTGACAGCGCCGGCATCCACTTGTCGTCAGTAGCGTTGCCTGGCTGATTCACTCTAATTGGTGTGAGCAATGTCCGTTAAATCACTCCCTAACTCCCAGTGGACATGTGCTATCAGGCAGCTTAATGCTGCAAATTGCCTCTGCCATGTTGGAGCCGCTGTGTGTATGTGTTGGAGCGGGAGAGCCTCTCATCGTTATACCACCTTGTTAAGTACGTCGGGGTTGCAGGGACGTCGTTAAGGTAGAGGAGAGTTATCTGGAAGAATGGCCAACACGTGGGGCTCGACTCCGACCTGCCGGATCGTAAACTTTATCCTCCCCCCACTTATTGCATTACAGCGCGAACCCCGAGGACATGACAGCTGAGACGCAGTGCAGCTTGTCATAATTTCACACTGGTAAACAACAGCACATTTCTAATGAG